TGGCACTTTGACCTGGCAGCGGGGTTGACTAAAACGGTGCTGTGTTGTGTTGTTTTGAGTTAGGGTCCTGGTAGCACTGGACTCAAACTCACACTCAGAAGCCTGAGGCAGGGAACCAGCCACCGTGCGTGGCTAATGCAACGTTCTTGTTCTTTCTGAGGAAAATGAATGCCTTCTCTTCTCTCCTTTCAAACTTCACGCCTCCCATCTGCTGTTGAAAGTGAAAATAAAGCAAATGTTTTCAATCCCATTTATTTCCCTAGGCTCCTCCTAGAGCTAACGCTGCCACCTGTGAAGGGACCCTCAGGTGGCCCAGTGCTGGGGGACTTGGGAGTGGCAGGTGTTGCCGAGAGAGCTCTGTGCCCAGAGAGCCAGGTGGGCTATACGTTTGGCCATGTTCCTCCTTTCTATGTCAGGTTCATGACCTGAATGTGTTGACCGAATTTCTCATGGAGATCTGTCCCACGACCCTGAGAATATTTTCACAGGACAGCTTCCTGCTGTCCTGCGACCTTGAGAATATTTTCTGGCTTGCTTAGCACTTCTGAAGAAATCTGTTCATCTTATCTCTTGGTTTATCCTCTCACTCAGCATTTATATTCTCCGAGTCCTGTAGGTGTGTGGAGATGGGCTGAGGGGCCAAATCTCATGCACACCTGCTGGGCAGAGCTGAGACCAGGTGAGGGGAATGAGGGGCCCAGGCCCACAGGCCCCAGGAGAGGCTCCCTCACCCAGCAGCAGCAGCCAGAGAGCCCTGTCTGGATAGGACAACCGGGTAGCCTCAGTGAGTCACCAGTGGCTCAGAAAGCTGGCTGCTTCTGCGCAATGGGGACATTAGTAACAAGACCTTTGATGTCCCTGCAAACTCTGAGGACTGTGATTTCTGAGCAAGAGACCAGTAAGTGCATTGGGGCCGATTTCCTCACGAGCTCGTGGGGTCTTGTTATGTGTTCTATCTTACTGTATCTTTTTTTTTGGTTGGTTGTTTGGTGTTTTCACACAAGGTCTCACTACATAGTCTAGGCTGGCCTCAATCTCACGGCAATCCTCCTGCCTCAGCCTCCCAGGACTCAGGTTATAGGCATTGATCACCATGTCAGCTTGTCTTTCTGTGTCTTTAGTGGCTTTCTGATTCTGTGTGGGTTGTGTGTCCCCAGTTAGCTGTGAGAACTGTTGCTGGTGTTCACCTAAGGAAACTCGTCAAGGAACTAAGCATGGTGGTGGGCCTGGGAGCCACACAGTGCTAAAGACAGAAGCCCAGGGGACAGGAGGGCAGGGCAAGGAAAATCCAGCCTCCTCTGCCTTCCAGGTGGCTGGCTCTCTTGGCCCCTTGTCTCCCATTATGGTTCCAACTGGCATTTTAGCAAAAGCCAAGAGTCTTTAATACATCTTATGGGGAGATTTTTCACAGCTTTGAACCCAACATGGAAAGCTGGGGGACCTCATTTTCAGTGTTAGGACCTTGTACCTGGTTTTCTACCCTACCTGCAGTATCTCACAGCATATGTGTGGCTCGGGGTCGAGATGTGGGTTTTGGAGTCGAGTCTGGTTCCACGGGAGGTGTCCCAGCCTGTGTCTCCCTATAATGTTCCCCAGGGAGCTCCCCTCTTCCTGTACTCAGCCTCCCAGGACTCAGGGACACAGGACCAGTCCTCACAAGAGGCTGGGTGGGTTGTGAGCAGAAGGAAGGAATCAGGACAGTCCTGGGCCCCTGAGGTTCCCCCACCACCCAGGTGTGTGGCAGAGAGGGAGACAGACCAGCTGTCGTGAGCCAGGGCAGCTGCAGCGGGGCTGAGGATGGGCCTGGCCTCAAGCCTGCCAGGTCTGTGGTGTGAACCTGGCCAGGTTACCCTGTTTTCTCTGGCCCAGTCTCTTACACTGGAAGAACGTTCTTTCTAGCTCAGTCACTCTAAGGACATGGGAACCACCTAAAGCGAAGGACAGACATGGTCACAGAAGAGGGTTTCAGTGTGGCGGGGGCAAGGGTCAGTAACAGTCAGGGCAGGGCAGACAACAGATCTGGAAGGGTTGTCCCCTCACTTGTGCTGAGGAGGAACTTGGGACTCTGGTTTAACTGAGTGGTGCTTTTACAGTTCTTTTTTCCATTGTGGAAGCCTTGGTGTGTCTGGTGTGTTTGTGGCCATGTGGGGACAGCCCCTTGGAGTTGCTAAGACACTTCTGTGCTTAGTGAGGATCAGAGTGGCCTCCAGGGAGCTAGAAGCACAGGTCTTAGGCCCAAAGGTGTCTATCAAAGACTCCTCTCCCATACTCCTCCTGCAAGGTATGGGGTTCTTCTTCTTCCTCTTCCACTCTAAGTCTACTCAAAGTGCCAGGGCAGCCCAGAATATTCTAAAACATCCCAACTTCCTTATGGACACTAGAGGGCCTATAAAACCTGGACAGTTTCTTGGGACTATCTGAATTCCTGTCAGTGGCCCTAGGACCTTGCAGTTCTCCCTCGGTAGAGTCTGCACACCAACACTGCAGAATGGTCCAACCAAAGTGGTCACAGCCAAACCCCCTTCTGTCAGCATAGATCCCTTGCTGGGTGACTCCTCCACTCTGCTCCACTTCCATTCCTCCCCCATCTTGGGCCCTCCTCCTCCCTTCCTTCCCTGGTAAGTAGCTGAAACTCTTAAGATCTGAGCCTCTTTGATTTTGCTCAACATCTTTCCTTTGACCTTCTCTTCCTTCTGCTTCCAGGGACCGAGGGTCCTTCCTGGTCTTCCAAGTTAACGGTCCTCACAGTTTCTGTTCGCAGCCTCCTGAGCCTGGGTCTTGGAGTCTCCATCACTGGGCCTTCTCTGTCTCCCACTTCCACCACCCCTGCTTTCTCACTTCCTTCATGTTCCAGCTCCTGTCCTCGGGAACAGGCTGCCGGGTGGCCCCCGTGCTCCCGCACACACCAGCTCCCTGACTGTGCTGCCTGTTGCTGGCTCCTCCAGGTGCCAGCTCCCCTGAGGAGCTTGTCAACTTTCCTTCCTCTCTCTGTATCCACAGCCACCTTGCTTCCTTCCTCGTCCCCAGAGGAGCCCTGGTGTCGATCTCCTCAACCTGCCTCTTTTCAGGTCAGTTTCTATCACTGCTGGTCACTTGTCCAGCGCTTCTCTGTCTAAATCCCAACTTGCATGGGGCATCATCACAATTTAGCTCTTGTGGTTGTTTCTGTCTTAGACACAGCAGTATTGAGCAGGTTAGAAATTCACATGATTCTGGATAGTTTTCTCACATGGGCGATTTCACTTTCAGAACTCAGGTTCTACGTGGGGCTACCAACGTCGGTCTGGCGCTCTTAGTCCTTTGCTTTCATAGAAACCCTATGTCATAGGGGGCTGTGGAGAGAGCCTGATTCTCACAAATTTTGTATAACTCAATCTCACTATTTGAAACAAGTCTAAGTTTATGGTTTTAGACACTTCCCTTTTTTTGTTAAGTTTAATTTTTTTTTTCTTTTAAATGTATTTGGTAGAGTCTCACTATGCAGCTTGGATTTGTAGTGATCCTCCTGTTTCAGCCTCCCCAGCACTGGGATTACAGGCAGGTGCCACCATGCCTGGTCTAGGTGGCTGGCTCTGTGCCAGGGGCAGGGCCAGCGATGCATGTGGTGCTAGGGATTGAACCCCAGTCCCTGTGCTTGCCTAAGCAGGTGCTTAGTCAGTTGAGCTAGCTTGCCAGCCTGACACTTCCATTTCAATGAAGAATAACTGTAGGGACATACACCCAGGGACTCAGAAAGTCCTCCAGTTCACTGGGGTGAACCCGCAGTCCTATACCTCTCTGGTTTCCCCCTTTTGAGGTGAAACCAGAAGTAGTAGCTTCAACAGGGACTACTTATTAGATATCTACCCCCTCTTTTCTCGTTTCAGTCTGGAATCTGCTTGTTTCAAAATAAAACCCATCAGTTACCTCTTGCATAAATTCAAAGCCTGACTCTTTTCTAGATCTTAGGACCCTGGATCAAATGGCTCACTGATGCCCCCACCTGCCGTAACGTTAGGAGGCAAGATCTTCCTGTGGAGGTGCCTCCAGCCTGAAAGGTTTTGGGGTTCCTGGCAAGAGGTGCGGGTATTCTTGGGTATTCCATGTTCTGCACCGGGCAGCTGCAGTTCGTGTTGCTACTGGCAGGAAGCCTGGGCAGGCTGGCTCAGGGACCCAAGGAAGGCACTGCAAATAAATGTGCGTGGGAATGGAAAGACAGGCTGCATGTGTCAAGATCGGGGTGGCGGTGGATGGACAACAGCTGGCAGTGCAGGGTAAGGATATGGAGGGAGGGGCCATGGAGGGGAGGTGGGGGGGGCTGATGAGTAGGGAGAGGCTCTGACGTGTCTTGCTGTGCCCCAAATTCAACCCTCAAGTCTCGGCTCTCTAGACCAAAATAGAGGCTCACCGAGATCTGAAATGTGACCACAACCCTTTTTAGTTGTGAGCTTTATGTGGGGCCACTGGCCCCCACTCCACTCTCCACTGCCACCTATGCTCGGTCGTGTGTGTGTGTGTGTGTGTGTGTGTGTGTGTTGCTACAGGAAGGCAACAAGGAATCCAGCAGGTGCTTGTACCTGTCTGTGCGCAGCTGCTCTTGGCCGGGGAGGCACAGGCAGCTGCTCTTGGCCGGGGAGGCACAGGGTGTGGGTTTCACCCTGGCTGTGCCCTGCTCAGTGAGCGGAGGTGGCCGTCTCCATGACTACCTGCTGTTCCACAGGAGCGAGCCAGGAAACTCACGCTCAAGTCAGGCTGGATGCTCGGGACCAGCTGGGCTTGGGCAGCCCCATGGCCTGGGCGGTGTGCAGCTCCTGAGGCTGCAGGCTTTGGCACTGTGACCTCTGCCTGAGGAGCACAGTTGCGCTCAACATGGGGCCAGAAGCGCCGCAGCTGCTCTGAGAAGCTCCCGGCCTTCTGCAGAAGGATGAGTGAGCCGGCCTTTCCCCCTTCTCTGGCAGAACTGCCTAGAATGAGGTTTTTTGGGTTTTTTTTAGAATTCCAATAATACAGAAAAGTAAAACACATTAAAAACTTTATTGAAGTATCACACATCTAAATTTGCATCAATTTGATACATTGCTGCTCTTTTCGAGGAACGCACTAGTCGCACACTGCTGACACATCGACTCCTCCAGAGCTGTGTGCACCCACAGTGGGCCACCAGGCCTGTCGCCTGCTCCCTGGCTGCACCTCTGTGGCGGGTGGCAGGCCCGGGCCAGGGTGGCCCCACGTCAGGACGGCAGTGAAGAGCATTTCCCTTCTCTGTGGGGCTGAGCCCAGAGGAGCCTGCACTGTGCCATCTGCTCAAACTGCCGGACTCCAGGAAGTAAGTCCTCTCTTAGTTCCACTTCCCCCTTAGCCCATGTGGCTAATTCTGGATTTTTGAGCAAAATTAACCCCAGCTGTCACAGAGTCTTCCAGAACCTCCAGTCTGAACTTGGTTATTACCACTATTCTGAATGGAAGTGGGGTAAGGAGTCGGGAAATCCCCTGGACGGGAGCAGACCAGACTGGTGTGGTGGCTCCCGCTTCTCCATCCCTAGGCCTGATGGAGACTGCACGGCCCATGGGAAGCCAGGGGAGGGGGACACAATGCCAGGGAAAAAAGCAGTGACTAAAAAAATCCACAGAGAGCGAGGTGATGCATCCTCTCTGAAGTGGTGGTGCCCTTTCCCCGCCGCCATCTGAGGATCAGGTGGCCTGTGGCATGGGGCACCACAAGGAGGTGAGGGACATGACAACAGCAGTGACCATCCAGGGGCTACTTGGCTGCTGTGGCTGTCTGTGAATTTAACACTTTGGAACACATTAGGAATGAGTGAGGATTCTCCAACCAAGGAAAATGCCCAATAAAAAAATAAAGATAGAAAATACATGCTAATTTAATGGCAAACTTATTTTGATACTATAATGGAACCAACTTGGAGTTAAGGACCACCCTCTCTCCACGTGCGAATCGGCGCCAGAGCCTGCTGGGTTGGGGACTGCGCCGCTGTCCTCCGGCGCCGGCTGGACTGTCAGTGCTGCAGCAGGAAGTTGGTGGCCACATTGAGGTCATTATTTGAAGCTCTCAGGGCTTCCAACGCATCACCTCTGGAAAATCCCATCTCCATAAGCCGGGCAACCTGGGGGCAGAGGAAGCAGGAATGTGAGGGGTTATAACATTGCTCCTTATCCTCCACCCTAAACTTCATGCTAAGTCTCGTGGGAAAGGCCGGACCTACTAAAGACTAATTTTCATTTCAGTGTGAAAGCTCATAGTTTAGAAAAAAATAGATACAAACTATTCAATGTTTACTGTATGTAGCCTATAAACATTCATTTTCTCATGTAACCCCCATTTTGCAGATAAGAGGGGTCCTAGGGTCATGTGGCTGCTGGGGCTAGGCCTGAGAACAGGTCAGCATGAACAGCTGCGGCTCACCATGGCCACATAGCCTGCGTCACATCTGGAGGCCAAGGAAGAAGTGAGGATACTCAGGCTCCATCTGGACGTGAACAACTGTGTGATGAAGCTTCACTCTTGACACTGGTTCAGTGTCCTCCTCGTCTGCTGTCCCCTGGCCATGTGCAAACGGCAGAGGCAACCGAGGCAGCTGAGGATGGAGGCGGCTGAAAGCCACCAGGGCAGGGAAGCACGAGGCTTGTGTGGTCAACAAATCCTGATCCTGCAAATATGGCAGTTTCCTGTGCTTTTGCACAAAGGAAATGTCCAATATGGAAATGGGCAGTGTTTCTAGAATTTGTTCATCACCTCCTTTCACAATGAAGAATGGATGATAAAAATATCTATGGCCTTGATTAGCTACAAGAATATACTTTTTGAACTTGTATGACATTTGTAATAATACACAGCAAGAAAAGGTACTCTCATAAATGTTGGGATTTTCAGTGACAGATAGATGCATTAAAGAGGCTTCAGAACTGACCTGAAGACTCATTTTTAAAATTTTCTTTCTGATAGAAAGAAATGCACCTAGTGCTGTGTGGGCAGAGAATGGCCCCAGTGCTGCCTGTCATCTCCTGCTCATTTCCACATGAAGCCTCCAGGCCCACTGCCTGGGCTCTGCTAGCCTTGCCGAGGCTATGCTGTGAGGGGACTGCTCCTCGTGCCACGGACCCCAGCTCCTGAGGATGAGGGTCCTGGCTGCTTCCGCTCGTCCAGAGCCCCAGGCCCCTGCACTTCCAGCCCAGTCCCTCTTTTCGGACCTCTCATTGATGTATCACCTCAAGACATGGTGCCTGGAACTGAGTGTAATGCCATAGCTTCCAGGGTTGGGGGTGGGGAGCAGTGAGACAGCCACCAGCCTATGGCCTTGCTTTGATGACTACGGCGCAGGGATGCGTTGGTGGCACGGATGTTTAGGTGTGAGTGCGTGTGCATGAGTGCACGCATGTGTGCAAGGAGGCTCTTGTGCGGGAGGCTGAGCTGCACTGGCGTGGCGATGTCTCCAGGGCCTGCCAGACCCTCAGGAATTCTCACCTGAGATACTCAGGCCGAGATTCTCAGATCCTATCTCGACGCAGGCCCAGGACCGTGTGCGCCTCTCAAGTTCCACCTGCCTATTTTCTTGCTAAACAAAACGAATTTTGCTATCTGTTAGGTTAATCATCTCCCTCTAACTCACATCACCTCCAAATTTGCTCAGCAAACCTGAGCTTCATTCCAGCTGTGAGGATGGCATCAGGCAGGCCAGATGAGACAGGGCCCAGTGCTGCCCTGGGCATACGCACACAATGAACATTTCCAACCAGCTTCAAATGCCTTCAGATTATTGCAACTTTCCACTCTGTAGCTCAGCCACATATCTCTTAAGGCAATGAGGTGTTGTCACATATCTTGGTGACATCCGGTATCAGTTGGATTACTATGATGTTCTCAGACCATGACTGTATTTTTGACGTTCACAGTCGCCACGTGCTAAATCTGGTTTAGGCTCTGCCAGACGCCCAACACTCATTTTGCCATTCAGCTCTCAGAGTGTAACACTCCTTTTCTCAGGGGCATTTCTGAGGTGGGTGACTCCCGTCCTTTGGGCGAGGGGCTCTGGCCTTGTGCAGGAGGCAAGTCCTGGGGCAGAACACCCTCCCTGATGCAGGCTGTTTCTGCTCCAGGTAGGAGTAACCTCTCATAATGCTGACTGCAGTTCTCCCCAGTGAAGCGGCTTTTGCTCTGGGCTGGGCAGGAGCTGGGCAGCCCTGCCTCCGGCCTGGCATTTATCTGTGAACAGAGTGCTGCAGCCCCAGGAGCCTTCCTGGAGTGAGCGGCTTGGAAAGGAATCAATCTTTTACTAGGGCTCTGGCTCTGTTCTCCAAGTCCAGGGACAAGGCAGGTATATGAAAGAGGCCTAGAACTGGCACCTGACGGGTGCTCAGTACATGCTACCTCTTATAATGATTATTACCCATGAAAGGCACCTGGGCCAGGAGTGTGGAAATCTCCTTCTCTCCCTGAACATCTTGGGACTCAGCTTGGGGACTTGGACAGTGTGACACCCCCTCCCCAGTTTGCTCTCCACTCTGCCTTGAACTTGCTTCCGTTTCACTGGCTTTATACCCTTTGGTGGTTAAGAGCAGACATGTGTCTTACAGGGGTCTCCTGAAGACTGCCACACACAGAGCCACGGCTCGGCAGTCACACCTAAACCTAGCCCCGTGTCCCTGCAGTTCTCACCATCAAAACAGCATAACCCAGAACTGGCCTAAAAATCCAGTGTGGCGAGATGTAAGGAAGGCAGAAGCCAGGGGCAGTGTTCTTGCTAAATCGCAAACACAAATTTCAAAGAAAAAAGTCTATATTTTTATAGCAACTCTCAGGAATACTTTATAAATGCTAGCAAACACTCAACTCCAAAGGTTGGTCATGAAAACAGTGGCGTTTATGGCACCTCAGTCTGCCTCTGCCCATCCAAAGCACCTATCCGAGTGTCCACACTGTCTGTGTTCTAAATGAGCTGGCTTTCTCCGCAGGCTGTTTTGTCTTTGCAGTTCAGCTACTGGGATGGGAAGCACCAGTTTAGCCATGAGAACCTTTGCTGGTCCGATCTAACTCCACTGAATAATCACCAGATGATATAAACATATAAACACATCACAGGCAGCTGAAATCAAGTTGTCACAGTGTGGATGAAGTGCTGCGATGCCTTAAGGCCCACACTAGGTGGTCACAGCGTGTGGGCCACTGGTGTGGTGCCTGGTTTTCTGGTAGATGGACGCCCACGCCCCCCTCTGGGGCTCTGTCTGCCTCACCTACCCAGGAAGAGCCTACCACACAGAGTGCCCACCACCAGTCAGAGAAGGGCTGGATGCGAGGGTGGGCAGGCTTCATAGTGGCAGATCTTAAAGGACCTGCTTGACTTCTGACTGAAATGACCAATAGATATCTCGAAGACAAAATGGAAAAGCCAGAACACAGAACTCTTCACACACATAATACAACACATTTTCTGACAAAGTGGATCTGATAGCAAGGCCCTGCTGGTCTTCATCTCAGTCAGCAGTGGCCTGTGGGGTTGACAGCAGTCTGTCAGAGACACTTTGGACCCCAAACCCAGGAGTCTCCTGCTCAGCTCTTCCTCCAACATTGGCATTAGGCTGAGGGTGGAGCATCCCCTCCTCAGCCCTCACACACGTTCTGTCTCAAGTCCTCACCACGAAGCATCGGAATAGAGGGCAGCTTGCTTTCCAGTTCCCAAAGGTAAACTATCGTTTTCTCTACCTTTGTTCAGAAACCAGCTACTGTTGGTTGATTTCCAGGCACAGTGCTCTTGTTCAGGCTTCTACAAGTATTTGCCAATAGACAAAGTTCCCCAAATGTAAATTCCAATGTCTGTTTCTGTGATTTCCCAGAGGTGAGGGTCACAGATGATTCAGTGGACCCTGGGGACAGGCGAGGACATCCCACCTTGTCTGGGGGCTGAAGATGCGTCTGTGAAAGTGCCTAGGGCTTCTCAATCAGCTGTCTTCCGTCACTGGCGCTCACCACAGGCGCCAGCAGAACCCACAGCCTCCGTGACACAGCCCTGTGGCTGGCTGACCCAAGGTGGGGGACGCAGACAGGAACAGGCACTTTGGAGAGCGCTGTCACTGTCAGCTGACAATGTTCCCAGAGGACGAGGTGGAACACATTTTTTCCCAGAACATGCTTCACAAAGGAGGCCACACTGGGCCTGGGCTGGGCTCAGGCTAGACTGTGATTAGCAGGCACGGGGCCCTGGGGCCCATCTTAGGCACTAGAAGCCAAGCCAGGCTGGATAGCCAGCATAGCAAGAAAAACAAGGTAGAAAAGCAATGAAAACTTTACACAGCAAACAAATGCACAATGAATAAGGCTAGAGATAAATTTGTACCATTTTTCCTTTATTTAAATTAAAAAAATTCTCTCATAATGGGGATTTCTGTCTGCAATCTGAAGATAATTTTTCCTCAAGAAAATTAGTCAGGGGCTAGGGAGTTGGCTCAGTAGAATAAGCACTTCCCTGGCAATCAATCCTCGGTCCCGCCAAAAAAAAAAAAAAAAAAGAAAAGTAGTCAAATAACACTTTGTTCTTCTGCTCCTCTTTGCCACAAGTAAAAATGGGACACTCACTCCAGGGAGGTTTAGACCAACTCTGTTCAGTTTGCTGAAATAAGACTGTGGTTTTAACTTCCCTTTAGCTAAGGCTGTCAAAGTGAATGGTATTTGGGGTTCTTACTTCCCGATTCTGATGTTTACAGAAAGCAGGATCTACCTGACAGTACCTGACAGCAGCCTCCACTTGACCCCCAGGTCACATGCACACCCATGGACATAATGGGGTATCTCCCTGCCATTGCAACCAGCATGTCACCTGTGGGTGCTAGCCCCCCCTCCCATCACCAAGCCCCTGCAAGGCTCTGCGGGACAATTCCCATCTCTCTCTCTCTCTCTCTCTCTCTCTCTCTCTCTCTTTGTGGTACCGGGGATTGAACTTAGGACCTTGCACTTACCAGGCAAGTGCTTATTCTACAGAGCTATCTCCCTGGTTGCTGGTCTTGCTTCTTGTCTGACCTCTCTGTTCTTTCTGAGAATGGTGGATCCCTTTTTCCATACCTCCAGGTTCCAGGTTAAGTCAACAAATGGACCTGGTAGTTTTGATTTTCAAAAGCCCATTATCATGGGAGACATGAATCAATCTTAGTGTGATGCTGTTGCTATGGTAAACTTATATAGCCTTTACATGTAGTTATATGTAAAATTGTATGCAAAACTAGAATTAAAACGTTAATTAGAATATAAATTATGTTTACTGGTTATAATTGTAAAAATTTAGGTTTCAACATTGAAAATGACAATACAGTTTAACATTATGGGGTTCTTTATTTCTGTAAAATATTGATGTATGTAATAAAAAATAAAAGATTAATTGGCAAAATGAAAAAAAAAAAAAAAAAGAAAACAAATGGACCTGGTAACTTGGCTTCCCTCCCCAGCTTGGTGCGCCCAGCAGCCCCTCTTTGCCCCCTGCTGCCACATCCAGAGTCCAGAGGATGTCGCAGGTCCTCTGTGAAGGCGGGGTGAGCTCCTTGTAGACATCTCCTCAAGGACTCGGTAAGACTGGCACGCTGTTCAAGTTGGGCTGTCTGACTGGGGCACCATTTCACTGTGATGACTCTACCTCAGGTGTCCTGAGAGAAAACACATTTCTAATGGCCCAGCACTAGGGTTGGGAGGGACTGACACAGCACCAGGGAAACGAAGCCCTAGGCACACCTCTGCCCACCACCAAGGCAGAAACACCTGTGCACACCACGGGAGGAGCCACCAATGACCTGCTCCCCACAAGCAGAAGCCCAGGGTGTACCTTAAGACAAGTTCCCAGCAGCGAGGGCTTTGCCTTCTGCAGGAGAATCTTCCAGAGCTTCGGTGGTGACTCTCTGAGGATGCTGGAGTTGAGAAGACTCAATAAGATTCTCTAACGCTAACCACACTTGGCTGATTTATGAGCCGACACTGGAAGCCATTCTCTCTTTGCTTGGGCTAAAGGGAATCCTAGAGGACCTAGGGGAATCCATTTGATCCGTCACACATTATGTTTTATTGATGCACCAGATGTTAACAGCTTCACTGGGCCAGAGTCTCCAAGTGCCCAGGTACAGGGAGATGACTTCCACAGCTATGTCTGACCCACCCCCGAGCTAGATGAGTCCTTTCCTGTTTCAAATCCAGTGCTGGAGCCTAGGGGCAGAATCCATGCCCACGACTCTGCTTTGAGAGCTTACTCAGCCCACTTCTCACACCAGCTTCTTGCCCAGGCAGTGGCTGCCCTGCCAGCCACCCCACATGCCAGCCTCACTCCTGTGACTAACCACGTCTCAGAAACCTTCCCTGAGCCCCTTTCCTACAGAGGCCATGGCCCAGCCCATGCATCCTGGCCACAGCCACTTTGGGTCCTGCCTCCCTGCTCTGAGAGGGCAGGAAATTCCACCCCTTTCCTCAGTGCTGTGAGGACCCAGCAGTGCTGGGCTTGGAACACAGAAGACAGTGTTAGCTGCTGGCTGACCAAAAGGAGGGAGAAGCACGAGTGGCAGAGGAAGTAGAAATATGCCTTCTTTTCACTAAGTTCTAGCTTTGCTTTAGTTCTGTTTAATTTCCTTGTCTGACCTCCTTGGGAGAGTCATTGTTTAGACGGGGGGGG